CACCCTGCCCCCGCCACCTCCTTCCCTGTCTCTTGTATGGATCAGGAGTAACCAGACTCCCCCGGTGTCAGGCTTTCCCTAAGAAAGGGTCCTTGGGAATTCGTGTCTTGATTTCTTTCTTTCGCTCTTTTTTCATTACATCTACAGGGAAGGGAACAATGGACCTTTGAAAGTCGGTGTGAACAGCCTGCAACTTCTGGAGAGGGCTGGGGTGGGGGAATAAGCCCCACAGGAAGCCGACTGCAGTGAAAGGTTGATGGAATGTGCCTTGCAGAGTCTCGGCTGCAGGGCGCGCGCGCACGCGTTTGGGGTGATCTTTGTCTCCTCGCTAGTCCCCCGGGTTGGTGGGTCCTCTCCCCACCCACTTTCTGTTAGTTAAGGTGAGGCGAGGCTTTATTTAAAATTACGTGCAGCTTTCTTTAAAACTGGGGAATAGCCTTAGCACTGGACCCCACTTCCAGCTTTTCTCTGCAGAGTTGGGAGGTCCTGGCAAAGGAGGGGGCCCTCTCTGCGAGGACCCTAAGTGCTGCAGTTCACGCTGGTTGCTACACCCTCAGCCATAAAATCAAGGTCCCGATTTCTCTGGGTGCTCTCTGCTGCGGTGGCTGTGTGTCACCAGACCTCGCCGTGGAACGGAAACAGCTCACTTAAATTCTCCGCATAAGGTTAGGAAAACAGACTTTGATATATGTCTCCTTTCATCAGCATTTGGGGTTAAGGATAGAGTGACTCATAATTTTAAGAACTCTCACTCCGCACCGGAGCCACTCACTCCTCTTGTTCCAGTGTGACCACGTAATGCGAGGCTGCGTTGTTGCACGTGCTGAGGGGGAGCAGATGTTGTCTTGTGAGCTCTTCCCAGCAAGAAGTGAGAGTTTAGAGAAAGGGGGAAAGGCTTCCCACGAGCTGAGGGAGGCCGGAATCCCCGGGGCAGCCAGGCATACCTGTTGGAAATGGCTCTGTATGAAAAACAAGCACATGTGAAGTTTTGTGGTTGGCTAGAAAGGAGCTATTATTGTTTGACCCTTGAAGGAAGCTTGCTCTTTTCACAGTTGGTCTGAGTATCATACTCTGGTTGTGTGCCTTTGATTAGCCATTCGGAGGGTTCTTTTGAGTTTGTGTAGATGGGCAAAGCAGAGAGTGCTCCGTAGGCATGCCCTTTGCTCAGTAAACATTGGGTAGCACTTTCTGGGGCTTTGTACTTTGCATTGAAATGACTCCCCTCAGCTTTGTGTACCTGGCGGGTGGTAGGTGGAACTAGAAGTCTGGCTTCTGGTTTTCAGTTTAGTCCACCCAATGGGCTCAGAAAACTAAGGTTAGAAGTGAATTCTGAGTCATCACCTGTCCTACTTTATCAGCCTTTGAATGCGAGAATAAGCCGAGGACTGGCCCATGGATGTGGACAGGGGAGTAGAATCTGTAAATTCTTACATAGTGCTTGTTTGCATGTCCTGAGTCACAGCTGGCTAGTTGTTTGAGTAAAATCTCCTTCCTTGATCGAGCCTGTATTTCGTGAATCTTCAGAAGTGTCAGATTCACAGCAAGTAACCAGAATGTGGCAACATTTCAGTCATGTTCTAATAGAGCTAATCGAGCCTGTCCTCAACAGGTACCGAGAAAATGAAGAGAAGACAGAGATAATGTGGTCTTGTGGGTCATTTCTTTTTTTGTTTTTTTTACCCCAACCCCCTAGTGGGTCATTTCTGAAGCTGAAAGGGTACTGCTTACTAGCTACCTGCCTCAGGACAAGTTTCTGAAATTGAGAAAGATGAACCACATGTCAGAAACAGACAATTTAGTCACTATCAAATTCACAAGTTTCAACTCATGTGGGATGATGTATGTAAATATGTACGTTGTAAAGTACTCTAAAATATTTATGAGTATTGCATCCTTCCACCCACTCACCCGACATCTGTTCAGCTAACACTTATTAGTCACCTATTGTGTCCCAGACCCCCTGGAAACAATCTCAACACCTGCTTTGTGGAGTGCTCTTGCTGGGAGGGATGAGGAGTTGGATGGAGTGGCTGCAGCTGGGGAGGCTACAGGGCGTGAGAACCTGTGTGGTAGTTTTCATCTATAAAGATGAGTAAGACACAATCTCTGTTGAAGAAATGAGTCTAGCCAGGGTGACAAGGAAATTAACAAGTAGGTCCAGTAAGTGTGTACATGTGTGGGAGAATTATGCATAGGATGTTTTAAGAAGCCAGAAGAGGAACAGATTGAGGGTGACGTGGGGGAGCAGTTTTTTGAAAAATTAAGTTGGTTAAATCAGACAAAATAGTAGGGATGAAAACTGGTATCAGAAGCACCATTTTAAAATGTAAAGATTGGAGGACTTGAAGCCAGATTTGGCTCTGGCAATTGCTAAACATTTGCTGCTGGGAAAATCCCCTAATCCCTCTCACATTATTTCTTCATCTGTAAAATGAGTTTTAAAATGCTTTATGGAATATTTTGAGGATTAAATTGGATTAAAGTTACTGTATATATTTATGATAAAGTACTATAGAACCTAGTGCTGTGTGTGTGTTTCTTTTAAAGCTAAAAAGAGATTTAAATCATAGCTTAATCAAATTGTCTCAGCCCAATTTCCGTTTCCTTGGCCCTTTCCAGAATGTTCTGAATCCCACCTTGAGAGTAAGTTATTTAGACTTTAGGCTAGCTATTGTCATATGGTATTCTTTACCTGTCCAGGCTTCTTCCCATCTCAGCCACAGGAAATCTTTTCATTTCATTTGGGTTGTGAGCATTAATTAGAAGGAAGGGTGTCTTGTATAGTACATCAATTGAGAAGGGCTTGTCTGGGTTTGTATTGTAACATCTATACTCATCTCTGCCTCCCAAGCCAAGTTGTTTTTTTTTTTTTTTTTTTTTTACTGCCTTCTATCCCAGAAAGATGAATATGGAAAATGAAAAAAAGAAAAGCTGTGTATCTGCATCTTTGAGACCATGAAAATCACCCTGACTAGTCTTCTCCATTTGCAAAGAGATCTAATTTTCAGCCAGACTTTTAAAGAAAGGCTATTCTCTCAATAGCAGCAGCTGCTGTCTAGGTGAAACGTGAATCTGTAAGCAATACTTGTTTTAGTTTTCTACTTGAAATGGATTTAAGCTCATCTGAAATTTTATTAAATTGCTTTGATGGAAAGCCAAATTCAGATATTTAAAACTATCAAGTTAAATGTGACTTTTTTGGTTGGGGGAGTGATATGAAAAAATCCATTTTCTGGACTCAGCTACATGTGCTGAATCTTCACATGTAGTTCAGAGGAAACTTAAAAATAATATTGAAATGATGAAGTAGAGACCAAGAGAAACTAACTAATTAGATAAGGTCATATAGTGGATTAATGGCTGAGCGGGGATGAGAACTCCTTTGTCCCTATTTCCAATCAGCACTTTTTTTCCCCTCCCATATATTCTCATTTATTTAGCAATTTAGATATTTTAATGTTTTAATAGTCAAATAATTTGCATTTAGGGTTAGAAACCTATTGCACCCAAGTTTAAGACAAACACTATATCTTTTTCCTTTTCTAGTACTTACCCATAATAAGGTACTTCTAGTGGGGTGATGTTACTTGTAGTAAATTTCTGTCAAGTAAGGAACTAAGCGTAAAAATAATGTTAGCTTTACTTGCATTTTCTATAAGCAGGATGCAAGCTTCAAATATTGTAGAAGTGTGCATTTTTTTTAAAAAAAGAGCAGTTCTTGGAAACATTCAGATTTGCATTGTGAATCACAGCATACTAGAAATATGTTTGCATGTTCTTTTGTTTTTCCTGTACTTGCTTTGGGAAGCTTTTAATGTTGGTTGTTGGGAACTATGTTGAACAGATATTTTATTGCATTCCTAGGATGTGCAAAGCACTCTGCCGGTTGCTGTGAGCAATACAAAGAAAAATGAGGCATACGGTCTTTATTAAAATGTTTCTTCAAAAACAGTGAAACAGATTCAGAAGTTGTGTAGGAGGGGTCTTCAAAAAGTTCATGGAAAGATTTGTATTATTTTTTTAATTCCATTTTCCCACGAACTTTTTGAAATACCCTCCTTTCTGCATCTTAAAGGGCAGAATTGCTATCTCCCAACAAATCAGTCCTTTGATCTATGAGGCAACTCTGCTTGGAGATTGTTATTATTAGTGTGACCTTGTAACCAGATCTGTAACACGACACTTATTTTTGTTACATGGTAATGAGTGGTAAACCTTTTACATTTGTTGTATCAGGGCTCCATCTTAGTTAGGACAGTAAGTAAAAGTTCTCAAAACAGTATTTGAGAATTTTATATTATGAAAAGTTTGCCTAGGAGAGATTGTGGCGTTCTTAGCTCTGATGTATTAAAAAATGGCTTTGACACTGCATACAAGTGCAGTTGGGACATTGTTGCCTGAAAGAGTTGCAACTAAGACAATCCATATTGAGCCACTGGGAAAAGAATTGTTAAAACATACGAATATTCATCACAAACTAGAGGTCCTGGTCAGGTCTGATTACCAAGTGTCTCTCAAGACTGAGATTGTTAATGATTTGGGGCTTTTAATTAATTATTGCCTTGCAC